CAGCACTACTGAAGCTGGGCAGCAACTTCATGATTGGCTTAAGGCTGGCCGGATGTCCAGCATTACCCAGAACTTTGAGAGTGACAATGAGCTCCTCATAGTTACGGCTGGAGACAGCCTGGACAGCACGTTCATGGATGGGCTGTGGGAGGAACAGAAGAACATTTATGTCACTGATGTCATATAACTGAATTTTAGTTAAATAATACACATATACAAACGATACATACCCTCACAAGCTCAGCTGGGCAAGCTGGGTTCTCTGCACAGTGTTTAGCAACCAGAGTGCCATAGCCCAGCATAACAATCTCACGCAGCACTGGGTTTTCTTGGATCTTGTTGTGCACAGTCAGAGCCTGAGGAGTGGTGAAAATAAAGAACTGATTATGTGTCGCAGTTGTCACATTATTACAAATTGCTCAAGAAATCTCTTAGCGTTGACTTGCCTCAGCGTGCTTGATGGCCTCCAAGTCGGCTGTCACCATGTGAACAGATGCCAGCAGGGCTTGAGCAGTTTCAGCAAAAGATAGCTCACCAGCGAGGAAGTGCTCCTTGATGAACCTCAGCGCAACATGATTACCAATGGCAGGGACAGCATTCAGGATCCAGTGCCTGGGAAAGAGAAATGTTATATTAGTATATTATACATGTCAAGTCTTTTCATGGCTGTTTTCTGAATGTAAGTTGCACTTACCTGTGATCGGGTCTAACTTTGAACTGAGCCCACAGGGCCTTAATACTCTCATATCTGGCCACACGCAGCAGCTGGATGAGCTCAATAAACTTCAGAGGAGCGTCTTCATGGACCTTGGCCACATTGAAGGTCACCAGGTGGTTCAGGATCTCAACAATCTGGGAGGAAACAAAAAGATTTCCCATGTTAAAGTGTGTTGCTGCTACAGGATCAGTTCAACAAAAATCTGATTTGAGATGGTATTTTCCCTGAAGTACCTGAGCCTTGGCATTGGTGATCCTCAAAAGCTGAACGGGTGTCTGGAAAATCTCGCTGCCAAACTCATACTGAAGCGAGTTGCGGTGAATATATTCCGCTCTGATGGGCTCAATTGGGGTCTTCTCGACATTCATAAAGGTCAGGATTTGCCTGTGAATATACATAAGCACTACATCAACCTGCATTGTGACATTTTGTGCTGAGATTAGTGCTTACGCCAGTATTATTGCTCTCTTCTTTTTACTTGAATCCACATACTTAGACTCCATCTGGGCAGCGCCGTTCATGATGTTTAAAGGTGAGAACTGGATGAGCTCAGTAGCAGTTGCCTCCAAAATCAGAGCACCTGATGCTGCTGGCTTCATGACGTAATTATAAGCAGCCGCTCCCTTCAGGATCTTTCCTCTCTGTATTAAAGGAGACCCACAATATATCATCACACCAGCAGCCTCCAGGACTGTACTGTATTAGAGTGTGAGAGAGAATTTGCACTTACAGCGTCACACTCTGCACATCTTTCTGTGTAAGCCAAGCCAATGTCCTTAATAATTCTCTCGTGGCAGTTGTTCAGGTCTTTGGTTTTAGTCAGCATGATGCGGTCAGCCTCTGCATCCTCACTGATGACGTATTGGGTCTTGCACACACCTTGAGCTCCAGGCTAGTTCACAAAAAAATACAAATATACAGTATTACAGTAAGTATTGCGGCATTTTGTGGATGGGACTAAATGAAAATGAGTTATTTGTACCTCTTGCAGCTCATAGACATTCTGAGTCTTCTTGATGTTCAACTGGAAGATGTTGATGATTCCCCTGTGGATATTCAGCACAGTTGCAGAGATGCGATCCGGTGCAAACACTCTGCCAACCACACCACTGGAATACTCAAACTTCACAGGTGTCGAGAGCTGAGCAGCCAGGGCCTCGGTGAGCTTGGTGGCTGGAACAAAAGCATCTTTGGGCCAGATGCCACTGTACTCAAAGATTTCAGGGTTCACAAGCTGTAAGGAAGAGTGACAGTTTGAATTAATTGTGAAAACTTGATTGTTTGTAAGCCACAGAGAAAAAATGTTGTTCTACTTCATTTGTTATTAGTCATAAATAAATTGTATCCTTTACCTTCAGCATGAAGGTGTTGGCAGTCTCTGCACTGATCCAGACTTTGCTGCGGATTTTCACTCCAGCCCGTGCCAGACCGTTCTCAGGCAGGCCACCCAAAAGCACTGCTTCATATTTATAGATGTAGGTCTTTCCGTTATCAAATTCAGGGGCTGCAAAAAATAGTCAAAAAACAAACTAGTGAATGCATTTGCATTTCAATACAAATTAGAGAAACAGAAACTTCCTATATTTACACTTCCTATAGTTTTTAAACTGTAAAATTCCATTTTTAAAGTAAAAGACAACTTACCTAAATTGACTTGGCTCCCCGCTACAAAATAGGAATAAAATATTATTTTGGTATTTATAAAGGACAAACAAGATATGTGAAAAACTTGAACTATGAACTTATAAAGAAAAAGGAAAAACTTATACTATGTGTGCCATTTTTTTTCAAAATGTATTTAACTGGTAGTTTGTATAACTAAAGAATTAATAAAACTAATTTTCTTGGTTATATATCAACTACATTACAATGTCTGCAAGTGCTGTAGTAGTTCTTTTAAATCCCAGTTCTTTTGAGTCATCATTTGATATATTTTGTTAATTTTATCCTGTTAAAACACAATGTCATTGTCAAATTGCAACCCAGTACTCATCTATATGCTAACAGTGCTATTATCTCATTTTACAACAAGCAACACTTTCAGAAAATTAATGAAGTTAAATAAAGTTAAATAAATAAGTTTGTTTAGTTCAAAATGCATAAAGATGTACTCACCCGCAAGGGCCACGGTGAGAACTAGCACAAGCACCTTCATGGCTGGTGAATGTGAACAACTGCATCCAGGGGCTTCCTTATAAAGCCACTTTTTGCTGATGGTGTGCCCATCAAAATGAATCATTAACTAAATATTAGCTTTCATTATCATTGATGTTACCATGCCCTGACCATCTAGATTAGACAAACAGAGTAAAACACAAATGAAAAATGTCACAGATGCAACAAGTTGTCTCAACCTGACTTTTTCCTGGCACAAACAACCTGATGTTCCAAATTCACAGATGTTTTCTGTCCTAAACAGATGAAATGCAATGCTCTATTATACAATATTACAATATTACACATTTATAATTTACCTATAATGGAGTGGTGATGGCGCAGTGGATAAGACACATGCCTTTGATGTGAGAGACCCAGGTTCATTTCCCCACCATGACACCCACCAATGTGTCCCTGAGCAAGACACTTAACCCATCGTAGCTCCAGATGCGTGCAACCTCTGATATATATAGCAGTTGTAAGTCGCTTTGGATAAAAGTGTCAGCTATATGAATAAATGTAAATGTCTATAAATATTTAACCTATATACATTTTACTACACAACAATATCAAAAAATGGAATTTACATGTCTTAAAATGAGTGGCCAAAATTAAGCTGTTATAGTTTTAAAAGATCCAATGACTTATTAATGATGAATTATTAACAGGAAAAAAGCATTATAGTGCAATAAAATAATTTCAAAAATGATAGTAAAGAATGACTTCAATTGCAAAAACAGCTGAATGTTCCAGTCTTTCAATAAAATGTCATTGTGTCCTGACCTGTAATTTTGTCAACTTGAACTGTTGAATCAATTCAACATATGTTTATTTAACTTTCTTTGTAACAATTTTTCAAAATCTTCTAATAGAAAATAAACTTGTATTAAAATCAAGTCAATCAAATGAAAATTCATCACAACATCACACATTTACATAAACACACATTTTCAAATGATCCTACCAAATGTCCAGCAAAATATGATGAGAAATTAAAATATAGAATAGTTAAATGCAATTGCTCACACTGTGAAATGGTTAGATGGTTAAATTGTTGCTGTTGCTGCTTTTTGAAAGCATTTACTCTTTAATCTATAAATACAAATATTCTGACTGGTTAAAGCATTTAACCAGTAATCTTCTGAATTGTTATCCCCACAGCAGTGTTCTAAGTATTTTCTTACTTTACTGAAAGTATGCATATTTAATAGATCTACGATATAAGTAGAGAAATTGAAAAGCTATAAAACAGATGGAGGATTTAACCTCCATATGAGAGCTTTTTCTATCCCTTCAGTACAGTATGTAAGAAATATGTCTTAAAACATACTGGCCACAGCATGGTCTGGATTGATGAAACATGCTGATGCTTTGGTTAAAATAGTGGAAAGTTGAACATTATATTCAATATGCAGGTGCGTGATTTTATAGAAAGCGAGGTGCCATGTACGTGTAATCAGAGATTTTAAAAACTCTGTGACGAATGACTAAATAACAGTCAGCAGCTATTCAGATTATTTACTGAAGTAAAAGTAGCCTACCAATAACACACTATGAAAACACCCCATTACCAGTTAAAGCCCTGTATTGAAAATGTTACCTAAGTAAAAGTATGCAAGTATTCTCAGGCAAATGTATCAACACTTAAAGAAGTAAATGAGGTAAAATGGCCCCTTTGAGTGTATATAGGATACCTAAAGTTATACTTTATATTCACTAATATATAGTATATCATTATTGATGCATTAATGTTGAAGCAGCATTTTACTCTTGGAGTTGATTGAAGTGGATCTCAGTTTTGGGTATGTAACTACTAACTATAGTTGTCAGACAGTGGTTCTCAAACTTTTTCTGTCACGCCACCCTTCAGAAGTCAAAAATGTTGATGCCCATCCCACCTCAGCAAAAGTGGAATTAATACAGGCTAGTGAAATTAAAATTATTAAGGTTAGCAAAATAGCCTTGTTGGCATCAGAGCACTTTTGTTTGTTTATGTCACCACTTGCATCATATTCATGAAACTTTAGGTCCGCTCAACATCCAGGACCGCCCTAAAATGGCTCTCTGCCACCAACCTGATGAAGTTTGTACCACCTCAGCCTCCGTACACAAGTGACGCGAGAACTTTGATTTGCTGACAGCTCAGAGTCCGACTGGACAGACTTCATTCAGGTTAAACTTCCTCCTATTCCAGAAAAATGTCCTCTTTCTCCCTGTTGTTCTTGTCGTCGATAGCGCTGGTCTGCAGTGCTACAGTCTGTCCGTGCGAGAGACCGGAGCTCTGTCAACAGATCCGTGAGGAGAGAGACTTTGAGGTAGTAAACGTCAAATACGTTACTGTTGTTGTTGAAAACACGACTTAACAACACGGTGGCGTTGAACCTCCACCACCCGCAGCACATGACATCTCCAGCACATTATTGATCGTTTAGTGTTTAAACTGCTCATCCTTTTAGAGCTCCTGCAAATTAATAAATACCGGTAATTATTTTATACAGGCTAAAAAAAAAAGAAAGTATTTCCTCCTTACAATTTACAGTTTGTTGTAAACTAAAGGAAGTTGGGGGGGGGGATTATTTTACAAACATATCACAAACGTCTTACATAATGGCTATGGCTGTAATAAAATACGATGGAAGTCTATAAAATGTAATGCTTTAAACTGGCATCTGCACCTATGAACTGATTGTAGCCTGACATACATAAAGTTATGGATAAATCAAAAAAAAATGTTACTTTAGTTTTTATGGCAGACAAATGAAACATCTGCAGTACACACATTTCATTACACTTTACAAGTTACAGGAAAATGTTTAGTTGTAGCCCCATTGTAAGCAGAGCTCCCAGTGGGGAAAAATATTTTGCAGTCACACAAGTCTAACCTCAGCCCTGCTTTGTTCCTAATCATCTGGAGTTAAGGACACAATTGTTGGGGTAGGATTAAGAGAGGTGCTCAAAGCAAAATGAGTGGGATAGGAGCAGTTCATCTTACAGTCGTGTGTCTGTGCGGTCTCTGTGTTTCTTTCAGGTGTTTGTGTTTGACGTGGGTGGAAAGACATGGAAGTCCTACAACTGGAGCATGGTGACCACTGTGGCAACGTTTGGGAAATATGATGCTGAACTCATGTGTTACGCTCACTCCAAGGGAGCGCGGGTTGTACTTAAAGGTAGAGTAAATGTCTCTCCTCACTGCTGCATGAATTGATGTGGTTCAGTTAGTCCGTTTGTCCTGTCTTTTTTTTTTTACAAAGTTTTACAAAGGTCAAAGGCTAGACTTACAGTACCTACCGTACATGTAGAGGTTCATTTTTGTAACCAATTCCCGGCATATTTTTTCAATTTTGGCCCTACTTCTCGCACCTGCTGTCAACAGTTCGTCGACCCATTGTCCTTGTAATTATGTCCATCTCTATCTTTCCTTGTTGGTGGGGAAAGGTGACGTTCCCCTCTCCCATATTGTGGACCAAGAAAACAGGACGGCTTGGATAACAGAGAAGGTCAACTTGGCCAAGAGTCAATTTATGGATGGGATCAACATCGACATTGAACAAGCAGTGGAGGAGGGCTCGCCAGAATACCATGCTTTGACAGACCTGGTCGCAGAGACCACTGAGGCCTTCCACAGGGAGATCCCAGGTTCCCAGGTGAAGACAATGTTTTGACAATGTTCTCCAATAAAAACATGTAGCTTGGGCTAGCCCCGCCTTTTTCTTTTTCCTGATGAATTCTGGCAAGGCCTCAGTAGGAATTAACTAGGCAAGAAAATGAATGAATGAAGTGCTTTAAGCCTTCCCTAACCCTGCGTGGTCTCAAATTCAACCCACTCATATGTGCCTTATCCTGATCTCTAGGTCTCATTTGACGTTGCCTGGTCACCGAAATGTATCGACAAGCGCTGCTACGATTATGTCACCATTGCTGAATCCTGCGATCTGCTGTTTGTGATGTCCTACGATGAACAGAGCCAAATCGTGGGGGACTGTATTGCAATGGCAAATGCCCCACTCTCTCAAACACTGGATGGTTTGTTGTCCCGTTGTTTAGTAATGAATGAGAGTAAATCAAAACTTGTTCATTTCTTGTTAATTAATAACTTCTCATCACCACCAAATGAAATGCCTGTTGTCTTTCTTTTCAAGCGTACGACCAGTATTTGAATCTGAAGATTGATCCGAAGAAGCTAGTGATGGGGGTGCCATGGTACGGCTATGACTACCCATGCCTAAACCTCTCCCAGGTAAGATATTGTTCATTAAAAAGCTACACAGTTGAAATGGTGGTTGTTGAATGTTTTGAACAAATAAGTCTGGTAATATTCTACATTTTAAGCCATGCTAGCGGCATGTTTCTAGGAATGGTCCTTAAGAAATCGTACTGATTTTGGTGATCCCCTGACTTTTCCTCTAGCGCCACCATGTGCTTGACTTTTGTGGGTTTAAGTGAAACGCTTACTATTGGATGGATTGCTGTGAAATTTGGTGCAGTGATTCATGTCCACCTCAGGATGGGTTAGGCTGACCATGAATGAGTGCCCAGTTAATTCCTTCAGTAGAAATAAAAGGCTTACAACTACAGTGCAGAGATGTTAGAAAGAGACACACTAAACATTGTGTTGGTACTTTTATGGGTTTTGTTGACAATAAGAAACAAAATAACACCAGCCTTCAATGCATTATGTAAATCACTTTCAATTGTCTTACCTTAAATATCAGATAATGATACGGGTCCGCGACCCGACCCCGGATAAGTGGATAAGGATGAATGGATGGATGTATGGATACGATTAAAATATTCACAGTGAAATTATAAAGCTCAAGTTTAAGTATTTAACTCTTATCATTTTCCCTGTGGTTCATGGTCTTTCTTTAAGTATATTTTTTTACCATCCTGGAAAATGTTTTTGAAGGCAAAACATGAAACTGCTCTTCTTTGTTTATACTATTGTTGCAGTTGTTATATAGTGTTTTGTCTGCAAACACAGATACCCCTTAATAATGTCTTCTCTCATACCAGGAGGGAATATGTTCTATAGCCAAAGTTCCTTTCCGTGGAGCCCCGTGCAGCGATGCAGCTGGAAAACAGAAAACATACAAGTGGATCATGAAACAGGTCAACATCTCAATATCCGGCAGGCTCTGGGACAACGAGCAGCAGGCTCCTTACTTCAACTACAAGGTACATTGTCTTTATTTTCTAGTTTAAGTCTTAGTTCTGCTTTAATTTGGAGTTTGAGCTTGACTTGCTTCACCTCTTCCATTCATAATAAATTACGACTCAACGGGCGTTTTAGGCAAGGGCTGTTTATCTATAGTGCACACCCGAGCTACCACAGTGTCACTTCCCAAACAAAACAGAACGGCAATAAAACATTCCCGCCGAATCCCTTCTTGTTGGTTCTAAAAGTCTTCTCACACCATAAGATGGTGCCATCATCACTTCTCACATTATTGTCTTATCTGCATTTTTTCCCCCTCAGGACCAGGGAGGACTGAGTCATCAGGTTTGGTATGACGACCCACAGAGTATTTGTCCCAAGGCAGACTTTGTGAAAGCTAGAAGTTTGAGGGGCATTGGCATGTGGAACGGCAACATCTTGGACTACGGCGATGAACTGGTTGCCAGGCAGGAGACCGCAATGATGTGGAATGCTCTCTTAGGATGCTAGCTGGGACACACTTAACACTGCTGCAGAAATCCAGTCACCTCTGAGCCCACTGTTTGTTGCTAAGTCAATATAACCCTCGTGTTGCTGTTGTCTTTGAATGTAGTTACATCTCAGACATTCCTCTGTGCTAACTGACATAACTGTAATTCTCTGTAAAAGAACCAATCTTTTAAATATGGCACACACACAATCACAGTGTTTTTGATTGACCGATATAGAGCTTACTGAGATCTGTGCACTTTATATTTTTCATAAGTAAAACATTTTCGGATCTGTAAATCATTGAAGTTACATAAACATTTTAGTATTAGCTTTCTTCCTTTAGCAACGAGCTTACAGCACCTGAGAAAAGTACGCTTGAGAAGAGAAGTCAACAGAATTAACACTGTGAATACAAACAGCACATGGAGTAATAATAACATTCGGTAAAGCAACACCACAAATATACAAAACTCAGGTATAAAATAGTAAGCCTTGTAGAAAAGCCAATGGCATAAAATCAAAACATAAAAAAATCAACACTTTAATACGTTTTCAGTTACTCATACATTTAACACAATCCATCTGTCCCAGCACAGTTAAGGCCCGCCAACAGTCTTGTTCACAGTTCTGTGTATGCTAAATTAGATGGCGGTGCTTTGGTCCGTCCCTTGTGGTGTTTCCAAAGCCTAGAGAGGCTGTGAGACCAGGATGAGAGGACTGGCTCTTCTTCTGTGCCAACTCAGCCTTTAGGGCCCTCAGCTCTGTGGCCGCTTGTTTCCTCAACTATGCCATCATTCATGAAAAAAAACATGGGTTGTTAATACAATTTTTTCAATACAAGGCCTTCAAACAAGAACAATGGAACTCATTTAACTTTCAAAGTAAAGATTTGTGCATTATCACAGTGGTGCAGGGTTTCTTTAAATAAAATGTGCATTTGTGTAGACAGTGTTAAGCTCTGCTTATTAGATGAGATTGTGCAGTGTAATTTTGGGCTATATAAAAAAATTCTATTTTGACATGTAAGTAGCAAAATGGATATAGGGCTTAATAATAATCAAATAATTATTTATTTATTGTTCAAATATGCGGATTGCTCTTTAGTCCTCACTAGTGATGATCTGGGCTGGGCAATTAGAAAACATTGATAATTATCGCAATATAATTTTCCTCACTAACAATATAGTATATGTTCAATAAATGTTTGATTCAATTTAAGTCACAAATGAATTTGAACTTAATTTTTCTATTAAGATAGTTATTTTGTTAATTTGTTTTATTTGTTAATTTTACACATGCATATTTGTTGATAAAAGATTTTTATCATAATTGTTTTGAATGTTCTACATCAGATTTGTGAAGTGATCCACTGTTTGGCAACAAGTGTTTGTCATATTCTGACCACAAAGAAAAGTGTAAAACCACAATTATCCATCTGGTTTCTTCAACTTTCACTCAGGAGCAAAAATCAGCTTTTAAACTTTAAAAAAATAATGACTGGACATTTATCGTGATAATTAATATTGAATGATATGAAATTGTTTATCATGATAACATTTTTGGCCATATTGCCCAGCCCTAGTGATGATTTCAAATGTTCTTAAAGCACAGTATGTAATTTGTTTTAAATTAAATAGCACTTTCCAGTGTGTGTGTAAGCACAAATATCAATATTTGTAGGATGTTGAAAAGGGACACAAATGTGTGGTACAAGATTTTTTCCAGATATGTCTCTTGACCAACTAGTTATCAACATCCTTTGTTGTACAACAGCTACTTTTGTTTATATGTTCTAGAAACAGTTGGGAGAGATTCATACCAGATCAGTTACCTTTATCTCTGTAACCAGCTTCATCTTGGCATCCTCTACCTTCCTCTTCAGGTTATCAATCTCATGGCTCTCTGTCATGATCTGAATGATGAGCTCATTCTGAAATTTCATTAAGTCACTTGTCACATGACTTTTATAGCTTGAGAAAAAAAAAAAGGAGGGCACAAGGGAAAGCACAGGTGTTCCACTTCCAGGGCTTTGCTATTGTGCTTCAAAGTAATTAAATAAAATAAAAAACAATATGCTACAGCAATCTTATATTGGCAAGTCAACATATCACTCGGTGTATGCAGATTGTTTTGAAACTATACGAGATTTGAAGTTAATCTACTTAAGACAGTTAATAAATCTTTAGAAATGATTGACCCAAATACAGAATTTGCCTACATTTTAGTATTAGACAAAACGGACAACTCAGCACATAAAATCAAGATAAATTCACTTTTACCTTTATGGACGATCTGCCCTGTCGTCTTGGCTTCCCTCTGTTGTCTCTGGCCTGGAGCTGGTGCAAGAGTTTGTTGTAAAATGTCTCCAACTCTTGTCGTAGGTTTCTCAGGTTTTCCTCCAACGGCGCTGTGGCCTTCTTGGTTTCAAAATATTTCTTCTTCCAGCTATCCCGCGCTTTACGTTGAAGAGGAAGAAAAGCAGCAACAGAATTTACTTCCAACAAATTTGACTTCCATTAAAAAATATAGGAATTAACAACTTTTTCCTCTATTGACAACTGCTCACCTTGGTTCCTGCGATGTCTGTTTTGAGCCAACAAATCTTTCCCCTTTCTTAGCAACTCTTGCCTCATCCACTCCAGCTGCTTTCTCTCCTCCCTCACCAGCTTGATTTCCTCAATCAGTTCCTCTCCTAACACAGAAGAACCATATCAGTTGTGTTATAAAAAAAAGAAAGAAAGAGAATGATAATTAAATCTTGGTATTTGAGCTAAGTGGACGGCTTACTGTTTGTATGAAAGACGAGCGAGGCAGCTGTTTTGTGAGTGACCGTGGCCAAGTCTAGACCTGGAGGTGGAGAGGGACACCGAACAGGCCGGGACAACTCCGCTGGACTTTCTGTCACCTTAAAACAAGCAATAAATACGACAACGTGAGTCTTCATTTGAATGGATTTTCATGGACTTTCTGTGTTACAGTTCTTTTTTCACTTCCTCACATGCAAGCCACTAGACCCACCTGCTGGCAGTGGAATTTGAACTAATCACTGCGCCTAATAAACTGGACACCTGCTTGTTTTAAAAGCCCTGTAAAATCTTTCTCAGGTTTACACTCAAGAACAAAGACTGACAAAGACAGGTTAAGGTTTTGTCAAAAACATGCAGGGAAATTATGTAATACTATACATTACGCCATTTGTTGGTTTAATCCTGATGGACTTCAGTGCATGTGCATCTTTTGATTTCTCGAGCCTGCAAACAGACACACAGTTAGAACAACCAGCAGTAGTAGTATTCAGTGCAGAGTGCAAATGTGGCACTCAGTAATGCTTCAGCTTGGTGTGCTAGTTGCACAGTACCAAAGTCCTTATAGGCTCTATAAAACGTCTCTGACAGTACCCATCTGTGACGGAGAAGCCTGAATCTCTGTCCTCCGGAGATGGGGCCACTGCTGAATCTCTGGCCGCTCTGCTCTGTCTGTGCGTCTTTTTCTTCTTTCTTGAGGTTTCCTCTTTCTCTGGCGACCCCTTCACCTGAGCTGAATCGGCCTCACGCCGTTGTAGAACTGTAGATATATAGCAACTGAATAGCTTAGTACAGTGATGTGAGATCCAGAAGATTAGTTTCAAAAAGGGCTAAAAATGTCAATGGACAAACCTTCAATGCAAAAAGTGACTAGTTAAAATGCCAACGTGTCATTTTCAAAGCTACAATATACTTATTTTTTCGTATTTAGCAAATAAAAACTTTGTTACAGATCATGTTTTTTCTCTGTCTTCCTTATTTGTCTGTTTGCCTGAAATGGGCTTTTCAGTGAAGATGAGGATATTATGTAGCATGAGACATGGCTGATTTGCCCTTTCCATTTTTCCAATTGCCAAAAGGATATTTAGGCAGCAAACATGGGAGAGATGAGTGACAAGATCCGTCAGCAGCACTTTGTTTGAGGTTACAGAAAGCTGCACTTTCATCACATGGGATAACTGCGCAAGAACAGATTTTGGGCAAGATGCCATTTCCACAGTAGGTAGCCCCTTAAATGAAAGTGTTAGGCTGCACATTTGTACAGCTTTCTTTGCATTCATTCTTTGTTGCAGAGCAAATTGTTATATATTGTACCTTTATTCTGTGAAACTGGCTGTTGTGCCCTCGGATCCTGAGGCTGCCGTTGACAACATTCCTGCTCCGCCCACTCTAACCTGTTGGAAGAGAGACCCTCCTCTTCATTTTCTTCTTCTACCTCTGAAGAACTATAGCTCTCCTCCTCCTCCTCCTCCTCCTCCTCCTCCTCCTCCTCCTCTTCCAGGCTGGGGGTGGGAGGTGGCTGATGGGAACACTGGGGGATGAGGGGGAATTTAACAGGCTCCTTTGTTCCTGCTGGCAGGCTGCACGTCTTGGGAGGGTGGTAATAGGTCTGTAGGTCTGGGGAGCTGCTGCTGGTGTCTGGGTTGAGAGACTGGGAGCAAACACTGCTGTCCGTCTCCACAGCGGGCAGCAGGTAAAGCTCTGGCTGTGGGGCCTGCCGACAGGTGACGACAAGACATTAGTGGAGCTTAACTGGTACATAATGAAGTAGATTAAGTAGTATTGACCTCTGAAGAACACCAAATAATGCATAGCGTCAGGACGAGACACTAATTAGACTAGATCAAACAGTTCATCTTCTTTTTTTAAAGGATAAACATGGAAACAACATTTATTTGTAACCCACCTTCTGTGACTGAGAGGACAAGCGCATGTTGGGATATTTTTAAAACATGAAAAGGCAAAATCTCACTAAAAATAAAGAAAATGTTATTTTGTTGGACTTAAGTGAAAGTACGCGAAAGAAAAAAGTCACCAATTTTAAGGGGGAAGAAAACTTAAACACCAATATTGAACATGGATTCTACATACATACGGTGGAGCGAACGTTTTCACTTTCAGATCCCCCTCCTGTTTGCTCTTAACCTGTAATAGGAAAGAATTTGGTTGTTGTAAGAGGTATGGCAGTAAAAACAGTGTGCTCACACAGACACACACAATTTACACCCTTTAGTGCAGCAGCTTGAATAGTGAACTTGTTAATCAAACTGTCAGCATTGTTGCTCTCTACTGTCTGTCCGGTGAAACACAACCAGCTATAGAAATCCACAGTTAACAGCCAGCTGCACTCACCAGTGCCAGACTGCGGCCCACACATTTCAGGAAGGAGAATTTGTCGATGCCCCTCTCTGTGCCAAGAAGAGCTCCCAGCTCGCTCCTCAGAGTTTTCAGGGTGATATCAGGATAAACCCTGGCATCACAGTGATGAAAAAGTAGATTTTCAGAGAACTGAACAACATACGTATGAGGTTGTAATGGATATTTATCACAATACTTTTGCGATTTGACAACACACGAGGAAACCCAGATAAAAACAGTTTCTAGTCTGGGTTTCAGTGGATTTTAGCTACCTGTCACAGTGTGAGTGAGTAAATCAAGGGGGGAAATTTAGTATTTGCGGGAATAAAAAAAATTAAATTTTTAAAGCTTTAAAAGCAAGTATGACACAGGTGGAAAGTAACAAAGAACAAAAGTGCATTTACTCATGTGCTGTACTGTCACTTTAACATACTTACACCTATTGTGAGATTTTATAGTCTAAGAGTTTAATTTTATTACTCCTTTACCTCAATGAATTTATGTTAAATCATAGGAACATTTTTGAATTTGATATACCATTTTTTTCCATAAGAGGAACTGGAATACTTCACACCACTGGATTATCTGATAACAAATATTTCTAATCAATGCAACAATGCTGAGATCTGTATTTTTATATATATATATCTTTACAGCATATGTAGAGCCTTTGCATGTGTGAAACCACACTGCAATGCAAGTAGTAAAAAGTCTTATCCTCTTCTGGGTTTGATTAAATTCAGCATTTCCAGCAGTTTCACCTGATGAAGCCTGCAGATATGAAGCTCTCTATGGCTTCAGCAGGGACTTTGTTGAGCTTCACATTCCACTGGTCTTCTGGCACATACAGTACATGGAGCTCCAAAAACTAAACACACAAAAACATCACATTCAGAGTGCATATTGGAATTTTAAGTCGGTGAGAGTAAATTGGCTATAAGTAACTCCATTTTAGTTCACTCTAAAATATTCAAATTCTTGTGCATAATGACTTATGATGCATTCATTCCCTCATACCTTGCAACTGGCCGGTCTTCTGTCCTCAAGATATCTCACTGACTCACAAGACAGCTCCATTGTCAGTCCAGCTCAGCATAAAGAGCAGCAGCAGAAAAGGAGATGTCCGTTAGGTTTATTCGCAGGAAGCCTTGTTGTGTTTTTTTGTCGCGCTGTGAAGGCGTGGACTGCCAAGGAACACTCAGTGGAGTTTCTTTTATGAGAGTGCCAGCAGTGGTTGCTCTGGTGCTGATGAAGACAACTGCTGCAGAAGGAAGCAGCTTACACGACCTGTAATTTCGTAAAAGGTACATATTATATTGATAACGGTGTTTTATGTCTAGAGCTGTCCGAGATTTTCCTGAATGCCTGGTTATCACGTCACATCAGTGTGACGATGCATTTTCACCACAAGAGGTCGCAATATACATTGATTTGATGCTGCTCTCGCGTGCACTTGACATTGTCGTAATTGTCAAAATATTAAGTTAAGCAAGACATTGTACCCGAAGAAAGACCAGCAATGTTTTTAGTGCCAGATTAAGAGCGACCAAACATCACAACACTCGATGAAAACGCTGAAGTATACGACTAATTTTGGTAAATAAAGGAACCAAAGCGCAAATAATGTGAAAACTATATATTTCGCTTGCATTGCTCTGAATCTTAGAAATAATTCAGTCAGTTTCATAATTAAAATAGGGGCTACTTTCATTAACACGTAGGTTTGTGCTGTCATTTGATGTAATTACCATTTACATTAAATTAAAAATGTAATGCTGAGTTTAAGAACATCCCTTGAAGGCAGCATCGGCGGCCTGTCCTTAAAAGAAAACCGGAAACTCGGTGATGAGGAAGAAGTAAGTTAGCAAGCTAGCTGCCAACAACGATTTCCTTATAGAAATAGTTTTATTTATTCTTAAAACTACAGTCCCTCAAAATCGTAAAAATGTCGGGATCAAGCAACATCGTAGCGATGAAGAAAATCGTCCAACAGTTGCGTCTTGAAGCTGGCATAAACAGAGTTAAGGTAACAGTTGATTTATCGCTGCGTTAATATTTAGGGCGTGTGTTGGTTCACTTATTAGTGTCAGTAGTTGTAAACCCATGAGGTTGCCCAATAGGGATTCGTTTTTTGTTTACGGTAACTTCCAATACTGTTAGTAACATAACAGCAGCTAACTTTGGACTCTTGTTTCCCACAGGTGTCCCAGGCCGCAGCGGACCTGCAGCAGTTCTGCCTCCAGAACGCCCAGCAGGACCCTCTGCTCACCGGCATGTCGTCCAGCAACAATCCGTTCAGACCGCAGAAAGTCTGCTCCTTCCTATAGCAGCGACCCCTCTGCCTCTGTGAGTACCACCTCTCGTCAAGATCAGGCAGGTCATTTGACCCTCAAATTAACAACCCATTATAAGCTTTCTCTATGGAGATAAGCATGTCATTGATACTGGATGTTGGTATTGGAAATAAAAACATGTGCATAGCTACAGAGTTTACAGCCACATAGGGGGGGGACTAAGGCACCCAACAAGATGGATTTCATTTTCACACATTTCAGTTCTGAAGTTGGTTTTATGCTCTGCTCTCAAGCGGCAATGAACTCCATAAAACGACATTAAATTTTAATCTTGTTGGAACTCAGGAATGACGTGTGCAGTTATGCAGTAACTTCTGGGTGTTGACGAATTATTGTGAGCTAGGTTCAGGTATGAAGGAGTTTCAGGGCCTGATGGAAGACTTCATATAGCATGGATTATCAAGGCCAGACGAGCAGATACAGTACCCGCATCAACATTTGAACACATCAAATGCCAACACCAAATCTGAAGGATAGCACTCCCTTTTATGTTTCTGTCTTCACCCTAGTGCCTGTAGGTTTTCCCTCTTGGGTCCTCTTTAACTGGCCTGAACCTAGAACAAATCTATCTGATGTTTAGACACCAATGCTACATCACATTGGAGTCTATTACAATCCATAAATTGTACTCTTGTAATCTGTGGAGCCAGCGAGTTGTTAACATTCTTGTAAGACTCAACACTGCCAGATTCGCAGAGAACACATCTGCTAGCCTGACTCCTGAGCTGCTTTCTCAACCTTATCAGTCTGTCGCCCCCCTAACAAGAACAGTTACATGAGGGAAATGAGTAGAGCTGGAAGGTCAGTGGACACTTTTGAGGTCAGCTAATGATCCGACAACTGTCTCCACCATCTGGAAAACAGCCACCATCATCCCTGTCCCCAAGAAACCCCGCCCCTCTGAACTGAATTATAGACCAGTAGCACTCATCTCCATAATAGCTAAATGTCTTGAGAAACTGGTACTGAACACCATTCTCCAGGCTGTCTGACCACAGCTGGACCCTTACCACTTTGCTTTCAAGGCCAAGAGAGGAACAGAGGATGCTGTAGCATGCCTCCTTCACACTCCACTTCAACATCTGGACTCCCCTGGCCATTATACCAGGATTCTCTTTGTAGATTTTAGCTCTGCCTTCAACACAATTCAGCATCACACCATGATTACTAAACTCCACCACCTCCATGTGCCACCACTCCTCATTCGCTGGATCCATGATTTCCTCAGTGACAGACCACAGGCAGTGAGGGTAGGAAGCACCACATCCACCACCATTACTGTCAACACCGGAGCCCCCCAAGGCTGAGTCCTCAGCCCCCTTTCTCTACACTCTGTACATCAATGACTGCCTCTTTCCCATTACAAAATACTTCAAATACTCTGATGGCACAGCCGTACTCGCCCTCCTCACTAACACAGAATCAGTTCCAGCATATCACCAATCTATGGCCCACTTCACCCAATGGTGTAAAGACAGTCACCCCCTCCTCAACATCACCAAGACAAAGGAACTTATCCTGGACACGTGCTGTAAACTCACTGCCCCATCTCCATAAATGGCCAGCCAGTAGAAATTGTTGACAGCTTCAGGTACCTTGGCATCACTATGGACAATAAACTGAATTTTGATCATCACAGACATCTACACATGCTGTCAACAAAGACTTTTTGTCATACGAAAACTCAGGACTCTGTCAAACCACACCTACTGCTTCTCCTGTAATCATTGAACGGGTTGTACGGTGCTTCACTGTGCTGTCTCAGCAATAGGAATAAGTTTTCTTAAATTCACTAACATTTCCTCCAAAATAATAGGTCTTCAGACAGCTGTTCTACAAAAAGGCATGCTTTGGAAAAAGTTTTGTACCCTTTGGTGTAACAGCATTAAACTCACAGACAAGTTAATGTCACTCCTGTGTTGTGTGTAGATGTGTACATTGTATGTGTACTATATGTAGTTTGTGTGTAGAATTCATATTGAAGGTGCTCATTGTACAGACTGAAAATGAATTTTCTCCACTGAGGACAATGAAGAATGAATCTAATGACTACAGGCTAGACCTGTCTTAACTTTCCCTGTTACATCAATTAAGCCCCCTAAGAATATTCTTTAACACTGGGTAAAATGCTTTTTAGGGTTAGGGTTAAACTAATGCATGTGATTTCTGCAGGGTTTGGACACTTGTGGTGCCTTGTGGACCTGGGCTACAGGACCTGTGCTGTGGACTGGAATCATCTCAGGAGTGTTAGGGAGTTTGGGGACAAGCAACTAACTTAAGTTGTTTTGTTTTTTTTACTTTTACCTTTTTGTAAAATCGTATTCAGAAACATTTGATGGTGCTTAAGTGGCACGATAAATGTCTTAACCTACATACTTTGACGTAACTAACCCATATTAAACACACGTGCCTTTTGAATTGTACTTTTTTTTTGTGCCTGATTTTGTGAATAAATAAATGGTATTCCCACATTTTAAACTTGAAGCCACTTGTTTTATTAAAATTAGTTATACACATTTAGAAATCTGAATGTGTTCAACATGTCATCCATAATTCTTTTGCCTGTCACATAAAAAGCAGCAGCACTGTAGTAGCTTCACAATTTCAAGCACTTACCAATTTCCAGACACTGGCTACTGTTGCACTTACAGACCAAGATGTAACAGGTCTACCTTTTGGATGCACAACAAACTGATCAGAGCAAGTTCAATGACTTTGATTCATTTTGGTCCACATTCATACAGTAATGTGGACATTTCATAGGAGCTGCACATCTACCAATACAACTTTTAAATACACTCGCAGTTCAGAATTCATATGGAGTGCCTGCATGTCTCCCCTCTGTCTCCCAACTAACAGAGGGTAAAAGTCCTTGCTATGAAGTAATAGCTCCTGTCCCACACTTGGTCTCCAGAAAGGATTGCAGAAGCAGCTTTTATAGAAGTCGTTTTCTCGGTGAGTGAATGTACAGCAATGGGGATCTCGTAAAAAATTAAAGTCATCAAATTATGTTGAGGACAAGTGTTTAACTGTTGCCAGGTTGTCCACAGAAAATTAATATCCACTACAAAGTCCATTTGTGCAAAGCCACAAACAGCAGTAATATATTGGATAATAGACGAGGTCCTCTTTGTCCGACCATTTAAGCTGGTTGTTCTTTCGCAATCAAAGTTGGAACTTCCGTCTGCAGGCATCCATCTCATGGCGCTGGAAACACAAAAGTATATTTATTAGCTTTACAAAAAAAGCCTGGGACATTACTACTATTGAGACCAATTTAAAAACTCTGAACTGTTGCTGAAGTGCAATTATTTATGAATAGCTGACAAACCTGCAGCAAAGAGGTCTACATCATGTATGAACTTTTAGCAAACATTAATTCACTGTGCAAGTGGCATGACACAAAACAAAGTGCTGACACTAACTCCGTTAGTTCCACCATTACAGCTCTTTAAGTGCAAAGACTCACCTTCAGGACCCACTCGTACTCCCCAAACTTTGAGTCAAAGGTGCCTTTCTGTAGAGAGCGCAGTTTGAGGGTGAAGCGGGGACCCAGCTCTTGAATACCAACTTTCTTCTCATTCTTGAAGATGTACCTGAAGAGATCCAATAAAATTGTTCATTTGGCCTTATATTAAATTTAAGATAAACTTTCTTGAACAGCACGAGAAAAAGGACGAGTATAATACAGGGCATCATGCCCAGCTCAAGTCAGAATTCACAGTTAAATCCCTCACCTGTGGAATCTGAAAAAGATGAAGTCTCTCTGGTTGTGGAAAGTGGCGACCTGTCGACCCACAAACTGAGGGTCTTGTGGAAAGAGGGCGGCAAGCATCCGGCCGATGCTGTGGCCCAGACGTGTGGTGAAGTTGTTGAGGATCACCTCTGGAGAGTGTTCAGTTGGATCTTTGCCTCTTCTCTGCCGAGAGAAAATAATACAGTTAAGATGGGATCACATTTTTTTACCATTACATTTACCCCATTTAATAAGCAGACAACAGCAACAGGAGAAAATTAGTTTGGATTTATCAACTTGCCTTCATCTCCTTACGTAGTCGAACACTGCTGACCTTGAAGTGTGCAGTCGGCCCGTCAGGTAGATGACAGAGAACCAAACCATCTTGAAGTCACGGTTAAGGTCAGAAAAACTCACAGCTCACCTGGTCAGAGTTTGTAGAGCCGTTCCACATATTTAGTCACTTACAGCAACTTTCACACTTTCATTACTGAGCTTTCCTCTAATAAAAGTTGTCTTTGAAGTCTCATTCATTATCCAAACTACAGCAACGTACTTAATACTGTAGAGCCCAACCAATACATCGGCGTGCTGATATTATTGGCAGATAGGTGCTAATTGCAGATAAATCTATATTTGTGTTTATAACAGCCAAAAAATGACAATTAAAAAAATATTAAAAAATAATAATAATCGAGAAAAAAATCATTCAATTATATTATGAGTGTAGGTGTTTCCACCAGAGGGCACTCTGCAACTCCCCTATTTACAACATGTTTGGAAATCCACCACAAAACACAGCAATCACCTAACATAATCAGCTGTACTTTTGTTATAGTTTTGTTATAGTTTTAGTACCATTTATAATAACTATAACTATATTATGTCACCATATCTTGGTGAGGTATATCAACTACACAACAATTGTTAGGGATAATCTTTGTTTATTTTATGCATTTCTGAAAAAAAGGGGGGAAAAAAAGAGAATATTGGCCGATATATCGGAATTTAAATCCTCAAATATCAAAATCGGTATTGGTCTAACAAAATCACATATCGGGTGGTTTCTAAAATACTGGATAACAGAAAGCAGAACAGAGCATTATTGTATCATTCTCCCCTCTCCTGACACGGCTGCCTTTGAGGATACTGGGCACTTTGCGATCCTCATTGATGACCATGAGGTAGGTGAAGTTCCTGGCGATGCACTGAGGAATGACCCTCTTCAGGGCCAAGCCTCTTCTGTAGTACACGTAGGCATTTGGGATGACTGTGGCCAGCTGCTCACAAAACCTCACCGTCCTCTACAAGACACACATCAGAGAACGATCAATGTGCTGAGAGGACAGTGTTTGAAAACAATGAATGAGAAATTGTTTTCCACGAAGCCCCAGCAGACCACAATTCACCACCTCAGGACAATTCATACAGTGCCTAGAAAATAGTCAATAACACACACTAAATGTCAAACAGCTTCAGTGTTTCATTACCTTCTGCATTATGCTGAGTTCCTACCCTTATACAGGTACACAAAGCGGCCGAAGACAAAAACTAGTAATTATGTCTAAATCCAGAAAGGAGGGGCTGAAATAAAAACACAGTCCCATCCCCAATAGTCTAAGGCAGACTGTTTAATTTTCCTAATCTGAAAAGGTGAAAAGCAATTTCATCAAGGGCCTATTTGCTGGTATCTGATAATCTGATGACAGATTCTGGCAAAAAAAAGTAATAATATCACATATTATGCCAAGTAGCGGCTACTCACCCCTCTTGGTCTGTCTGACGTTGTGATGAGAACTTTGGGGTTCGTCAGCCCATTGAAGTAGGCAGAAAATTCATCAGTTCCCTCGTCAAATGCAATCTGTAGATGGCAGGAGAAAACACACACACACACACACACACACACAAGAATGTAAAGTCATTCTAAATATAATCTGAAATTGTATGGGTGGTGATGGTGCAGTGGATAACACACATGCCTTTGGTGTGAGAGACCCAGGTTCAATTCCCCATTGTGACACATCTAACAATGTGTCCGTGAGCAACCCCTGGTTGCTCCAGAGGCGTGCGACCTCTGACATATATAGCAATTGTAAGTCGCTTTGGATAAAAGTGTCAGTGTCTTAAACAAACTCAGTCCAAACCTCTTCGTCTTCTGGGTCGACTGTTGTCTCATCGTACACCCTCTGGTTTTCTATCGTCTTTGGGACCTCTTTTGGCGGTGCCTACATTAGGGACAGAAAAAAGAAACGTAAGTGCATCCATCACATAACATAATTTAGTCTTTCACTTAAAATGGCTACAAAGAAAACAGGTGGGGCTCACCTTGTCACCCAGAGCTTCTCTTTCTTTTTTCTTCTTTTTCTTCAGCTGCATCTTTTGCTGAAATGTGAAGACAGAAGAAATCTGAAAACTGAAATTGCAGGAAGAGTGTACTTGTTAACTTATATTTACTTTAGTGCCAAAAGCTGAAAAATTGATTAATAAATCACTCTTTTGTCAGAAAATGATCTGGATAAGCGGTGATGTAAAGAGTAAAAGTACACAACTATTTCTGGTTACAGGTTAACAAGTAAGAAAAGGTTTTCTTGTTCTATTTATATTTATATTGAATGCTTTGCATTATTGGCCTGCTGCTCAGACCAAGAAAAGAGGTTTGAGATTTCAGTTTAAACTTTAAACTTAAAAATTTGTTATGTTTTGGCATGTTCTGTAGTAAATGCATAATTAGTGATTCAGTGAAAAGTTTATACACCAAGTTTGCAGTTTATTACTGCACCTAACAGCCCTGTAATCTGTCCTCTCTTCATGAAGGTTACATCTTTCAGAGGCACTGACACAACAAGGGTAAGTACTATTAATTATTTCATTCGATTAATCTTCAAAGTACTTTCTTAAACAATGGATAAGATATTTATTCTATAAAATGTCAAATAGTGAAGAAAGGCCCACCACAGGTTCCCAGAGCTAAAATTGGTGGAAGGCGTACTTACTTAAGTAAACATAGCAATGGTCTCTCTACAAACTATGAAAAGTCCGGCATTACAAATTGGGTAGAGTAGCAGTACTATTAGTGGAGTATTACTGCTAATGCATTACCACAGAGGCAGGATTTTAATGTCACAGCAAATTGAACTGGAACGGATTGTAAATACTTTATACACTGTTGGGTAGTTGTGCTATATATTCTTTGGTTCAAGCTTCTCAAATGTGAGGATTTTCTTAATATCTTTGTAAATTCAATCTGTTTGTGTTTTACATTTTGGGGCTGATAAACCAAACAATTTGAAGATGTCACCTTGGGTTCGGGTACATAGTGACAGGCATTTATTTACTATGTTATGTTATGATGTATTATGGACTATGCAATTATTCACACACAATGAAAATAATCTTTAAGTGAAGCCCTTAAACAATTTCACCGGATTTTATATGCATGTAAAAAGCAGAACCTGCAAAGACACTAACAACTATTGCTTTTACATAAATATTGCAGAGTTAGAAGTACAATATTCCCCTCTGAAATGCAGTGCAGTAGATATATAAAAGTAGTATAATATTACAGTTCAAGTATCTCAAATTTGCACTATAGTACAGTACTTGAGTAAATTATTTAGTTAACTTCCACCACTGACGAGGTAGACAACATTTTACAGCACCCCAAGCGAAGCCTCCCGCGAGTTGAATCAACACCCCTAAAAAACAAATTCAACCAGACCTGAACTTAATAACCTTCCCGACGGCAGCGTGTTAACGTTATAGCCCGTTTAGTTTCAGCTGGGTGTACCTAATAAACTGGCAACTACGTGCAGTGTACTTGCGAATGACAGCTCTACCCGGTGTGTTTACTCTTTACCTTTCTTTTCTCTTGCTTAAATTTCATGAACATGACGTGTCTTCGTTGTTTATTCTTGATTTCGGACACACTGAAGGTGGGGGGAAAGGCAGCTCCTGACTCGCTCTTCTCCATCTTCTGCTCCTCCTCCACCTCCTCCTTCTCAACTTCGCCGCCTTCTCCATTTCCCTCCTGTCTTTTCTTCTTCGGCTTCCTATTCTTCTTTTTCTTACCTTTGTTGCCCTCATTCACGGGAACCTCTGTGAAATCCATCTTATGTCAGCTGTCTGTTTTGGCTGAATTCTGGTTTTCACGTGTGTCTTCTTGTGTTCACGTCCGGAGACAGGAAGTAACCGAGTTGTGGCTGTCGATGAAAATTATGGGGACACCTAGTGGTGAGGGGGAGAAAGAGCGGCGACAAACAGCCGCCCAATTTAATTCCACTTAATGTAACTGCAGCACAGCTTGACTTTAAATAGTGTGACACAGTATGTGAGTATCGTCTTTATATCTAGGCCTCTACCTAGGAGTCTATTTAAACCCTTAAACAAAGCTTGCATTGACATAATTACTTTAAATCTTTCAAACGGTATATTTAACAAACTGTTCTGGCTACATGTTAAGTGATGGGCTTATGTTCAGTGAAAAAAGACGATTTGGAAAAATAACAACTTATTGATTTCTAATCCCACCTTTAGATGTATTCAGTGTTTTATTAATGTGCCACAATGATGTAATGTTTTTTGAGATATGTTGCTTTGCAAGAAAATATTGATTGATTGCGATTAAAATAGCATACATATATGTCTACCACCCCTTAATGACTCAATGCTGTACTCTTGCCATTATTTCTCTACATCCATTCTGTCTCTGGTGCTATATAACCTGTTGTTGTGTCTGGCTTTGTTGCTTTGCACTCTTTCTTGCAAAATAGATCTTTCTTAAATAAAGTGGGTATATATAAATGTGGGAATACCACATTATCAATTACCTGATAAATGTTAGTCCAGTATTCACTCTCCTTTCAGCTCTGTTTTTAATCTCTATCCCTTGGAGATGACGAATAATTCATGAACAGGAAATCATAATTTGTCAGTTGAACAAACACATGGAGTTAAATTAAAGTTTTATCAGAATGTGTATATTTATATTCATCTTTCAGGAAAAAACAAGGCAAAAATGAAAGCCAACTGTCAATTCTATTTATTTGTAATTGTAAGCATTTACCATTGAATGCAATTTTTCCACCCATGAACATTATATATTGATTATTAAAACATGATGACAACTTTTTCAGTCAGCATGGCGCAAACACTGTTGCAGTGCAGTTTTTGTTGAGCCAATCTTTTTGCGATTGCAGGCTGATGTCCCAGCTGTAAGCCACTGAGATTTGAGCTGGTGTTTGCATTTGCATTTGGTAGTTCACCTTTCCTTTTGTTTACATTTGGATGAAGGTTGTTCATCGTGTTGACCACCTTGAGATTAAGTGGAGGTGCAAGTTAACATAGTTCATACCGTGTGATTATGACACTGAATACTTTTGCAACTGCAAAGTCTTTAGTGCATATTGCACCGCCACCTCTTTTCATCTGACTAACTTCTCTGTTCAAATCAGCAATGCAGGTCCAGCCACCAACAGGCGTCACACACCACTTGGAGTGATCTACAGTATCACTGATGGGCTTCCCCTCCAGCCTTACTTCCTTCACATTGTACACATAATAAGGGATACTGCAGTTAGAAGGCAGAGGGTCATGCATCTTTCCCCAACTCTTGACATACAGATTCTGCTTCAGATAGTTTCCAATAAGGCCGGAGTAAAGATCTACAATAGTATGGAAAATAAAACAGAGCACAATACTATTAACTACAGAAAAAAGGAGTAATCCCTGTTCAAATAGACATTGGGGGAAACATTTAAGAAACTGAAAACACTCACCGTCCCTAAAACGTGTGTATTTCGCAAAGCTGGAGAATCCACGTCCTTTCATTGAAGTCAGCATCGTCACTCTAAACCAGGGTTCAATCTTTGGGTAGCAGCTTCTTTGTGCAACACATCGCAGCTCATTGTGGAAGGTTTTTGGGATGTCAGAGTCATATGAATAAACATGGATGTACATGAGCTGCAGTCCTGAGAATTCATATTGAATTAAAATATAATATTAAATAATATTAAAAATATTTTTACTGCACTGTTATTTGTTTTGGCAAATTATTTTCATCATTACAACCAAAATAAGACAGCAATATAACCTACCTATTTCTTTGAATTTATCATAGGAAAAAGTCACACACATAAATGTTTGAGCATTGATGCTTCCACTTTTCGGCCAGATGTCTTTGCTGCGATATGTTGGAAATTTTGGTGTACTGTGTGAGAGCCAAACTCCAGTTTGTCTGTCCAACATCACGACTCCTTTAGGGAGACAATCAGTAGAAAACAGTAGAAACAGAGCTTTGTTACAGGATGATATTTTTTTGACGTCAAAAGCAAAAAAGTGGAACAATCCTGCATCCCACCTTTACTGTGGCCAAATGATGCAGGAGCAACATACGGATCTGGAGGTTGATCGTTATAAAGCATGTATCCAAAGCCTTCAATCTAAAACAAACAACAGGAAACTCTGAATCAGTGTGCTGATTCAACACTGTGCTGAGAAAGAGAGACACACATTCTTTAATACATCACCTTTCTGTCGTAGAAGTCAAGAAGAGGTTTCAGGGTGTTCGCTAGAGTGCCAGATTTACTGTTGATTGTCTTTTTGCTGAGTTCCCATCCTCTGGTTCCCTCATCCATGTACAGATATGACAAACCCTCATCATCTCCTTTGGGCAACTTGTATAAAAATATACCTAATGACACAGAGATAAATACCTGTCGTTTGTAGTTTGTGGAGAAACAAACAAAACTACCGGTACTTACTATGTTCTCTATTATATTTTCAGCTGAGTAGGAGCATGTTTGTATGAATACATTTCCACCAACCAGTCCACCTCGTTTCCGCTGTCATCCCTACATTTCACATCTGAATCACACACTTGAGAAAAGATCCCAATGCTGAAGAGCAATGTCATCATTGTTCTCTGAAACAATAATAACATAATCATGACAAAATTATAATGACAGAGGAAATCAGAATTTCAAAATACATACTTATTCACTAGTACAGTATTTTGCATCCAGCTGATGGTCTTAATGATAAAGTAACTGGATATGTTTCAGCTGTTTGTTGTGGTAATGCATTTCTGAAATGAACTGTTTATTATGAATGGCATGAGCATCAAAGATTGTGATATATTACAAGTCCCTCTCAGGACACTGGGTTTTAAAGTATGATGGTGGTATGGTGGTGGTGTGAACAAGGTGTGGCCACTTCCTGAACCTTCAACACTGAATAGTGCAACCCAACCAGTGTAACAACAAGTCAAGTAGTACCTCAGCATTTGAGCACAAAATTACTCCACCAAGCACATTATGTTTGCACAGTATGAAAACAATAATGTGTGTACAGAGCAGGCAAATAATACACTACATTCAATACAACACTGAGGCTCTAGAATTTATACTTGAATATTTTTATATGAAAATGAACAGTTTTGATATACTTAGAGGGGCAATATTTTTTATTTTTGACTGCATGTATGGCTGTAGCTTCAATTTAAAAAATTTGCATGTAAAATTTGAAGTCATATGTTCTGCATTTAACACATGCATTATGCTGAATGTAACACTCTGCACAAGTTATTTATAAGTGCTGTACTACATTGTACAGAGATACTCAAACATTAAGCCATACGCAACCTCAACCAAGAGCCTAATGATGCTTTTTCGTGGCACAAAAACAAAACAATACAAAAATGTACACCTACAAGAAGTAAAATCAATAACTATACAACAAAAGAAGAAAAGAGTGACGTGTATGAACTCATGATGAATCAGAATCAACTCAAATTTAACCTGGTGAATGATCAAAGGTAAGAATTGGATTTCAAGTATCCTTGTTAAATTCTTTTCAAAAAATCTAATAATATTTAGCTTTATTTCCTTTGTGGTATGAAACCTTTTTATATTCTTCATATTTCTACTGAGCATTACATTGACTTGTTTCTATTCATTATATATCTGAATTAAAATAGCTTAAAAAACAAACAACAAATAAGAATAACGCATTTCAGCAAACGGATGATAGTCTAAACAACAATAAAAGTTTAGCACTTGCTTTTTTTGTTTAAATGCATTTTAGCATTGATTTTAATCATGTAAATCTTTCACTTACATATTTTGCCATCTCCATTTTTCTACTCTTACTGTGAGATCTTTCACAGTGAAATGTACATCCCTTTTTGCAACAAGTTTATTCTGTACCACCTCACTGTTAAAACCAAAACTCACACCCCTCACATTATCATCTGCTTTCTTGTTACTCGCTCAAAAACGTCAATGATTCATTGCTTGCTTGGTAAAAGCTCAGGTCAGCGTATAGCTTTATCTCCCTTCATCGCACAGTAGAACTCAGTTTAAATAAGGACATGATACAGAAATGACTGAGGTCTGCAGCATGTTTGTTTCAGGCCTACATCTTCAGTACACATTTAACATCTGCAAGGAATGGAAAGAACATGAATATATTCTTTAATTGAAGCGTTGTTGTTTACTATTGTATTTGCATTTTTCTGAGTTTGGCAATTCACTTGACACAATCTGAATCAGCGCTCCCATCTGGTTCTCTTAAGCCTTTAGAACAAATTAAAACATGCTTTCTCATCGAAAGAAAGCATTCAGAAGCCAAACAAAACTACAAATCAAAAAATTAAAAGTTCTAATTTTCAGATTTCATGAAGGTTGTATTCTGACCTTGATACAACATGATACAACAATACAGTCACTTTATGTGATAACAATCATAATATCAGTGTTTGTTATTTGATTGTGCTAATTGCTTTTATGAACACACTGGAGGAACTAAAAACCTCTTCACAGTACTTAAGATGGCGAGACCATACTCTCCATCAACAGCACACTCAAAAATCAAGAGTTTTTAGCATCAGTATGATTTTAGTATGTACAGTGACTTCTGTGAGTATTTGTTATTTTATGTGAACACATACTCAAAACCTGCTAAGAATTAAGGAATATGGAAGGACATAGTGCAGGAGTTGGAGCCTCTGAGCTCTTGATTGGTTGAACAAAGCAGATTTAACTTCTCAGGTGCTAGTTTGATGGCTCCATTATGGTCTTATTTGTTATGTTGTTCTTTTTTTTTGCTTCTCTCAGGACAAAGTAGTCCTGGGAACTATGAATTATCTAGTTAGTCATTACTAACATGAAAGTTTCAGGGGCCCAAACTGCTCTGGGTATGGTGTGTGTCAGCTTGTTTGTGAAGATTTAGCTGAAAACGTGTGCAGGAATATACACTACTAAAGCACATTATCAATTGATGTGATAAAGGCCTTAGGGTGGGGCCTGCCTTAATACCCTGTCTTGAAGAGGGTCCTCCTTTCAAAATCTAGTTTTGAGACTTTAATTGTTTTAATTTTGTGTCATTTCAATTTATTTCATTTCCATTATTGAATTATTTTTATTAATAGACTATTTGTGTAGAAGTTAATTCTTAAGATGTGATTTTGAAAATAAAAACATTGAAGTTTTTCATTGATAAAAATGCATAATACTGAACACAAAAGACAGGGGTTAATAGGCCATACACCAAAACATGGTGTCTGGAAATTTAGTGGTGTTTCATCTACATTAAAGCTCTCTGTGTTGAGCGTCAGAACGTGGAGGCTCACAGGGTTCGTAGTGTGTGATCAGTCCGTAGAAAGCCCTCCCAACTGCATCGTCACTGGTGCATATTGCTCCTCCACCCCTGTTCATCTGACTCATTTCCCTGTTCATATCAGCAATGCAGGTCCATCCTCCATCAGGTGTCACACACCACTTGGAGTGATCTACAGTATCACTGAAGGACTGTATGTTGAGGAGATTTACTTCCTTTACATTGTACACATGCTGAGGGATGCTGCAATTAGAAGGCAGAGGGCGACGCATCTTTCCCCAACTCTTGACATACAGGTTCTGCTTCACATAGTTTCCGATAAGTCCGGAGTAAAGATCTACAATAGTATAGAAAATAAAACAAACCACAGTACTATTAACTTTGGAAATTTAGAGTAATCCTTGTACAAATAGACATCGGGGAAAACACTTTAGAAATACACGTAATACATACTGTCATAAATAATGCAAACTAAACAAAAAGGCAGTGCTAGATTGGCCGCATTTAGTTGTTTCCATTAGACAACAAGACAGACAGCCTGTCTCTGCAAAGAGAATTAAAAGTGTGTTCCTAATTTTGCTTTAAAAAGCTTGTCGTGACTATCATCAACCCAACATGAAATTATAACACTTGAATCCTGAAATGTTTGTTCAATCTGCAAACACTCACCATCCCCAAAACGTGTGTATTTCGCAAAGCTGGAGAAACCACGTCCTTTCATTGAAGTCAGCATCGTCACTCTAAACCAGGGTTCAATCTTTGGGTAGCAGCTTCTTTGTGCAACACATCGCAGCTCATTGTGGAAGGTTTTTGGGATGTCAGAGTCATATGAATAAACATGGATGTACATGAGCTGCAGTCCTGAGAATTCATATTGAAATTTTTACTGCACTGTTATTTGTTTTGGCAAATTATTTTCATCATTACAACCAAAATAAGACAGCAATATAACCTACCTATTTCTTTGAATTTATCATAGGAAAAAGTCACACACATAAATGTTTGAGCATTGATGCTTCCACTTTTCGGCCAGATGTCTTTGCTGCGATATGTTGGAAATTTTGGTGTACTGTGTGAGAGCCAAACTCCAGTTTGTCTGTCCAACATCACGACTCCTTTAGGGAGACAATCAGTAGAAAACAGTAGAAACAGAGCTTTGTTACAGGATGATATTTTTTTGACGTCAAAAGCAAAAAAGTGGAACAATCCTGCATCCCACCTTTACTGTGGCCAAATGATGCAGGAGCAACATACGGATCTGGAGGTTGATCGTTATAAAGCATGTATCCAAAGCCTTCAATCTAAAACAAACAACAGGAAACTCTGAATCAGTGTGCTGATTCAACACTGTGCTGAGAAAGAGAGACACACATTCTTTAATACATCACCTTTCTGTCGTAGAAGTCAAGAAGAGGTTTCAGGGTGTTCGCTAGAGTGCCAGATTTACTGTTGATTGTCTTTTTGCTGAGTTCCCATCCTCTGGTTCCCTCATCCATGTACAGATATGACAAACCCTCATCATCTCCTTTGGGCAACTTGTATAAAATATACCTAGTGACACAGAGATAAATATTTTCTATTATGTATTCAGCTGACAACGAGAATAGGTGAAAATATAATTTGCCACAACCCAAGATTTCCACCAACCAGTCCACCTCGTTTCCTTTGTCATTCCTGCATTTTACTTCTGAATCACAGCCTTGAAATAGGATCCCAACAATGAAGAGAAATTTTACGACAGTTCTCTGAAACAATCAAACATAATCACTAGAATCACAAGTACAGGCGGCAGTCCTGTTTCTACAAATTAATTACCAGTTGATAGCATATCATGTTTCATTAAAATTGTAGCAGCATATTGCATGTGATGAGAACATCATGTATAAAGTTTAATTTAGAGTAAGCTAAATGGTAACACTTCACAACAGGGGACACAAAAGTAGTAACCAGGGAACAACTGAGGAACAGATGAGGAACTAAGGGCTGTTGAACTATCAGTTAATGAGTTACTCCTAATTTAATTTCATAGAGTAGCTAGTGATAATTAATGATGAGTTAATCATGAAAAGAGTGAGCAATGACTTGATAATTGATGAGCTGTTAATAAGTACACCCTAAAGTCTTAATGGAGGACTATAGCATACTAGTTCATGATGAGTTACTAGAAAGCAGACTGGGAGACATTATATTAACAAATCATAGGTAATGATTAGTTCGTGAATATCTGTGAATTGATCACAGTGAACACTGTAATATAGTGAGACATGCCCAGGAGTTGTGCTGTTGCACATAAGATTTACCACCTTGGAGGACAAGAGGAACGTGAATTAAACTATATCACTGTGTTCGTCTCACTGGAGCCATACATGACAGAGAACACTATAACCACTTTCTTCACAAGATGTTCTTGATTAACTCTGAATGATGAAGTAACAGTTCAGTACTCAGTAACCACTCGTATTATGTATGTATTACGTATTATGTATCACTTTGCTTGAAGGGACACAAAAAGAATGTTTAAGTAATTACTAATATATTAGAGTTAATCAGGAACAGCTCATGAAGAAAGTGGTCAGTATGATTAATTCACAGATATTCATGAACTAATTATTACCTAATGTAATTTGTTCTCTAGTAACTCAACTATTATCTGCTACATAGATAATAGACATTATACACTCACCTAAAGGATTATTAGGAACACCATACTAATACTGTGTTTGACCCCCTTTCACCTTCAGAACTGCCTTAATTCTACGTGGCATTGATTCAACAAGGTGCTGAAAGCATTCTTTAGAAATGTTGGCCCATATTGATAGGATAGCATCTTGCAGTTGATTTGTGGGATGCACATCCAGCGCACGAAGCCCCCGTTCCACCACATCCCAAAGATGCTCTATTGGGTTGAGATCTGGTGACTGTGGGGGCCATTTTAGTACAGTGAACTCATTGTCATGTTCAAGAAATCAATTTGAAATGATTCGAGCTTTGTGACATGGTGCATTATCCTGCTGGAAGTAGCCATCAGAGGATGGGTACATGGTGGCCATAAAGGGATGGACATGGTCAGAAACAATGCTCAGGTAGGCCGTGGCATTTAAACGATGCCCAGTTGGCACTAAGGGGCCTAAAGTGTGCCAAGAAAACATCCCCCACATCATTACACCACCACCACCAGCCTGCACAGTGGTAACAAGGCATGATGGATCCATGTTCTCATTCTGTTTACGCCAAATTCTGACTCTACCATCTGAATGTCTCAACAGAAATCGAGACTCATCAGACCAGGCAACATTTTTCCAGTCTTCAACTGTCCAATTTTGGTGAGCTCTTGCAAATTGTAGCCTCTTTTTCCTATTTGTAGTGGAGATGAGTGGTACCCGGTGGGGTCTTCTGCTGTTGTAGCCCATCCGCCTCAAGGTTGTGCGTGTTGTGGCTTCACAAATGCTTTGCTGCATACCTCGGTTGTAACGAGTGGTTATTTCAGTCAAAGTTTCTCTTCTATCAGCTTGAATTAGTCGGCCCATTCTCCTCTGACCTCTAGCATCAACAAGGCATTTTCGCCCACAGGACTGCCGCATACTGGATGTTTTTCCCTCTTCACACCATTCTTTGTAAACCCTAGAAATGGTTGTGCGTGAAAATCCCAATAACTGAGCAGATTGTGAAATACCATGTCACGCTCAAAATTGCTTAAATCACCTTTCTTTCCCATTCTGACATTCAGTTTGGAGTTCAGGAGATTGTCTTGACCACCACACCCCTAAATGCATTGAAGCAACTGCCATGTGATTGGTTGATTAGATAATTGCATTAATGAGAAATTGAACAGGTGTTCCTAATAATCCTTTAGGTGAGTGTATATAATATAGATCATTCATTTGATCTCTGTTTTCAACAGCTCCCTATCTACTGGTTGTGTCCCTGATTATTTTAAAACGGCTTGCGTGAACCCACTTTTAAAGAAACCTGGTTTAGATCCCTCCCTCCCACATAATTTTAGACCAATTTCAAAACTGCCTTTTATTGCAAAGATTCTAGAAAGAATTGTGTCCAAACAGCTGCTCACTGTACTGGAAAATAACAAATTATTTGAAAAGTTTCAGTCTGGTTTTAGGAAGTACCACAGCACTGAGACTGCCCTGCTTAAAGTCACCAATGACCTTTTAATGTCTGCTGATGAAGGTATGTGCTCAGTCCTGGTACTCCTGGACCTTAGCGCTGCTTTTGACACCATTGATCACAACATCATGTTAGACAGACTGAGGCACTGGGTGGGGATCTCTGGTACTGCCCTAGAATGGTTTTCATCCTACCTGTCAAATAGGAAGTTTTGCGTGTCTGTAAACAACTATGTCTCCTCATTCTGTCCAGTTAAATATGGTGTGCCTCAGGGGTCGGTCTTCGGACCCATTTTGTTTTCCTTGTATCTGCTTCCCCTTGGACATATTATCCATAAACATGGCATTTCTTTTCATATTTATGCTGATGACACGCAAATATACTTGCCCGTCAGATCCACAGACCCTGGAATGCTGAGTTCACTTAACAACTGCCTTTGTGAAGTTAAAAAATGGATGTCAAATAATTTCCTCCAGCTGAACTCAGACAAAACAGAAATCCTGGTCATCGGGTCTCAGCAGATGGCATCAAATACTGCCATCTGCTGGTTCCCTAGTAAATCACATTAAGCCTGTGGCAAAGAACCTTGGTGTTTGGTTTGATAGTAATTTAAATTTCGAGCAGCACACCACAAAGCTTGTTCAATCATGTTTTTATCAACTTAGAAATATAGCAACAATTCGATCTATGTTAACTTTTAAGGACACCGAGACCATTTTACACGCCTTCATCTCATCACGCCTGGATTATTGCAACAGCCTTTTCACCTGTTTAACCCAAAAATCTATTGATCGACTCCAGACTGTCCAGAACTCAGCTGCCAGGCTTTTAACCAGAACAAAGAAATATGACCACATTACTCCTATTTTAGCTTCATTACACTGGCTCCCAGTATGTTTTAGACTTGACTTTAAAATTCTATTGATCACTTTTAAAGCTCTTTATGACCTCTCACCTTGTTATATTTCTGACCTTTTAGTCCCATACACACCAGCACGTACCTTGAGATCCTCGGGCAGAGGTCTGTTGTCTGTTCCAGAGTCTCGACTGAAAACTAAAGGGGACAGAGCGTTTGCTGTCAGGGCCCCGAGGCTCTGGAACAGCCTGCCCGAGGAAATCAGGTCGGCTGAGTCAGTGAACTCTTTTAAGTCCCTTCTTAAAACATACTTTTATAGGAGAGCCTTTCCCGATCTTATTTGACTTTATTTTATCCCTTTTATTTTATTGTATTTTACTAATTTCATATTAATCGGTATTTTAGTCTTTTCAATGTTTTCATGCTCTTATCTTGTTTTTTTGTATTATTCTTTACACTTGTTAAAGCACTTTGTAACTTGTTTTTGAAAAGTGCTCTACAAATAAGGATTATTATTATTATTATTCACAAATTACACAGCTGTAACACGGCACTAACCATGTAAGTTTTATGGTTTTGTGTTTTAAGGCTTATAATTTCTTGTTTTATTTTAAAGTGATCACTCCTGGCATGTCTTGTGAATTTTAATTCCTGTCTTTGTGGTGGATTGTTTGCACCTGTCCGAATGTGTATCACCCATGTGTCCAATCATCCTGCCCTTTCTGTGGTACAGTCTTTGTGTCTCCTCTGTCTGTGTCAGATTGTCTTTGTGGGTTTGTCAAGCGTCCCAGCCCTTCCTCTGTGTTTGGATTATCTGTTACCCGTATTTCTGGATCTGGATTTTGGATTATTACCTGTTCTCTTCGGAGTTGCTTACTTATGTTTGTCGAGGGTCTCTACCTGTTTGTGGATTATTCTATCGGGATTGGATTTACCTTTGGATTTTCGTGCTCCCTGGGGATTTGTTTGTACCTTTTTGTTGGATTGATTTATTCTTTCGACTGCCCAAATATTCAATTGCTGTTAAGTGTATGAATGCTCTGCATACAGTGTCTGCATTTGGGTCTACTTTGTTACTGTGTCTACACTTAACAATTTGAGATGTAAAGTGTCAGTAAGGTCTTGGGCAACCACAAGCCCACAGGAGAGCTTCAAAGCTTCTTGGCATAGATTGTACAAGCCTCTGAACTTTCCTGGAGTGATGAACAGCTTTCTTCTACATCGCTCAAAAATCACAAAAGCATTAAATTGGGTCGAGAGCTGGTGACCAGGACGGCCACAACAAATGATTGGCACGATATGGAACTTAACTTTTTAAATGGAGATTTGGCACTATTGTCATCACCATCAGGGATTATGATATGTAGCATTACAATTTCACTTATGGTTTTGGAAACATGTTTGTGCAAACAGGAGGTTGCGTAATCAGAGGGCTGTAAGAGTTCTGCATTTCTATAAAGCAACTTCCTGGAGCTATATCCAGTAGAGATATTGATAAGCCAAAAATAAGACAGATAAGATAAAATATATATAAACTTGTTCCTTATGTGTGAATACAACATTTCTTTATACTTCTAGGTCAGTATACCCAGAGGTAAATATCTATCTTTTTATTACACTGCGATAATCTGTTTGCTGTAGTTACTACTTATTTTCTAAACAACAAGCTCATCATCAGGTTTTGCATTTTAGCATTTTACATTTCAACTATTTTTAGCATGCAAATAATTTACTTACATATCTAATCATTGTCACGTCTCTTCGGTCAACTGTCATCTGTTGAGCAAAGCTGCTTACTCACTGTAAAACGAAACTGACACCCACTTTCTCATATATTTCATCTGCTTCCTGGTTCCTCTGTCATAAACGTCAATGTAAATTAATTGAATCCAGTTTGACTGGTTGTTTGAATGAATATGGACATGACACTGACAGGAATTAACCATGGGCATATTCTTAAAATGGAGTATTGAAGTACTTTTTGAGTATTCAAGAAACAGTTTTGAAAGAAAGAAAGAAAGAAAGAAAGAAAGAAAGAAAGAAAAGAAGTGAAATGTTGTTTGACAAATAGTTTGACACTATCTGAATTACAGCATCCATCTGGTACTTCCAGGGCATTACAACTGATTCATTATTTATTTATTTATTAAAATTTCACACACATAGATACCAAAACAATTAAGGAAATCTTAAAAGAAAACAAAAAAACATGTGAGGGTGTGGTAGAAGCCTATAATGGCGAATAACCATACCCAGAAAACACAACATACAGTAAAGATACAATACAAAATCACAAATACAATTTAAATATTAGTAACAGTAAACATTACAAGTAATAATAAATATGAAGTAGAAAGAAATACAAAAAATACAGAGAAGCAGGAATAATTTTCTAATGTATAGAGTGAACCGCCATTTTTTTTTTCTCACTGTAAACTACTGAAAACATACAAAGCCTGAAAGCAAATCAAAACTACAAGCCCAACTATTAAAAAGTTCATTTTTCATTTTTGGAAAACATGTTTGCTCTCTTGGTTTCTGCTGGTCAGACCAGTTTTGTCAAACAGTGTGAATGAGGATTGTATTCTGGGCAAAAACATGACACAACAGTACAATTATTTTTGATAATAACAATCTTGGTTGCATTGTTTTGTTGGCACTAGCTGCCTTTTTCAACTGCCTATACTCAACTGAGCTACTGAGCTGCTTAAGTTTTGCATAAGACTGACTGACTTAGTCTGACCTTGATGCGTCCGTGGGTCAGGTAAACAATGGACATAACCTTCAAGGACTAAAAGTTCATAAAAATAATAAGGTGTGTGAAAGAGTTGGAAACTGTGATAGAGGACCACCAGTACTGCCACACAGTGAAACATGGTGGGAATATCACAGAGTCAAACAGAGAGTGATAAAACACTGCTGAATCAGGAACAAGTAGCTGTGCAGAATAGAAATTAAAAGTTGAGGGGTGGTTTGGGTTATAATTGTGATTCCCCATTGCTACCAGAGCATTTCCCCTTGTAAATTGTTGTTCTAATTTAAACCAGACAGAACAAAACCAATATCTTTATCAAGCTTTTATTCATCTTTATTAAGCATTTATTCATCTTTATTTATTATCAGACATGATTCTAGAAAATAAGTTGTGTATTGGAAACATAATCTTAATTCCATGGCAGAGTTTTGGTTTTTTTTTTGGCAAATAATAACTTACAATATAGCATAAAATAGTCTAAATGTAAAGTGTACTATTGGTATGTTCTCTATCGTTTGTTCCACATAGGAAAATACTACACTTAAAGTACAAACATTTTTTTTTACCTTTATTTATTCATGGAGCTTCACTGAGAGGAAGTCTCTCACTGATCACATTCACACTAAGCAGCTCCACTGCAGCTGTTGGGGTTATGGGCCTTTCTCAAGGGCACATCAGTGGTGGTAAATGAGTGAGGGCAAGCTTGGTTTACTTTCCACATCCACTGCCAGAGCGGGGATTGAACCGATCACAAGCTCGCTTCTCTAACCTTTGGGCCACCACTGCCCCTTAATCCAAAACCCTGCATACCTTAAATTATTCACAAAGTGCATGTTCCTGACAAAGTGACAACTACACAGTTAAGATGATGGCAAATCCAGTCACAGTCTCCACAAAAGTACAACAAAACATTGAACAGATACGAATCGGATGTTGATGGAGTAATTGTTCTTCATTCATTCCAGAAAGTTTCACAGTGAGAACTACTTTCTATTCACACTCACACTCATACTGAGACACAGATTTGCATACACTTCATGTGGCCTATGTAACTTTGAAAATTACTCATTCAAAATTCACACAGCCACATATTCTTCAAGTGAGATTATCAAAGGCTTCAATCCTCAAAACCATATACAGGAAAAGACTGTCAGTACTTCAGTATGTACTGGAACACATGTCTTTGCATTAACTTATTAATTACAAACTTTTAAATATTCCCAGACTCTGACACACAGAAGCTGGAAAGCGGGAAATGGTAATAACCTTGCCATTGATCTCCAGCGAGCTTCCCCTTTCCTTTCAGGAAAACTTTCAGAATAAGTGAATACAGTCCAGATTTCTGCAACTGTTGTATGTCAAAATGCATCTTATAGATCTCCAACTGAAACAAAAATTGGAAGTACAATCTAGTGGAATACACTTTACATTTTTATAACTGATCATACAGTTTGCTACAAGAATCTACTTAGCTAGGTCCAAGTAGCAATTAAAGAAACCAGAGTTAAATTCAAGAGTGTTGTAGTTGTCTGAAACTGATGGTAATTTGATACTTTTGTGGTCTGCTGGTTGCACGCCAGCTGTTTTAACCCTAATTAGATCTACCTTCACATTTAGTCCCATGCATTTGAAACGGATTCAAACCATCCCATGTGAGACGATCCCATGTGAGACGAACCCAGTACCAATCATCCGATCTTTCTCTCTCGTTCAACAGCCGATGTACCAGGCCACCACCTGTCTGAAGGCCTTGTAAATCAAGGGGTTGAAGGAGCAGACGAGCCCTCCACCGCGCCACATTTGGGCCCTGTCCCTGTTCAGATCCCCCAGGCAGGTCACCTGGTCCTCATAGGCCCTTGACACGCACCACTTTGAGTGGTCATAGTGGGACTGGAACAGGACTGATCCGGGAAGCTGAATCCTCTTGATGTTCATGGTGTGTTTGGGCAGGGAGCAGTTGGAGGGCAGGTCATGACCTTGCCTCTGCCAGGTCTCCACCAGCAGGTCGGCGTCCAGAACCTGAGCCACCCAGCCCGTGTAGATGTCTGAATGAATGCCAGTGAGGGGGTTAGTTCAGTTGCATTATGATAAAAAAAAAAACCCAAAACATTAAAAAGCTCACTTGGCTATTAAAATGCACTAGAATAGGTTAAATGTTTTGAATAATATTTTGTCAGTTAATGTTGTTTATGTTTAAGTTGTCTTAAAGTTTCCTAAATAATGTAAAACTAAAGAGAACTGACACATGACAAGCTCATGAAATCTTTTGCATCTTTTTAGGCATTAAACCTATGAGGTGCAAAAATCTTGAAACTGTAAATTTCCTTTTTATAACTGAACTCATTTACATATGAAGTTCTTAGATGTGTGATTATGCTGTAACGAGTCTGGGATTTCATTATTTTAGTGAGGTCTGTGATGTTTACAGCATAAATACAACCTTCATGCGCAGGACTCATAATCTTAGCATATTAGTTTATTAGTAGTTATTATTATTATTATTTATTATTTATTAGTATATTTTATAATTGTTGACCCCCGCCCTCTTCCCCAAGAGGTCAATCCTACAAATGAAACAATCTGAGAGGGAAAAATCACTGCTCACAACTGTCTACCCTGAGGCCATAAAATGTAGATATTTAAAAGGCAGAGAGCACTGTTGATGGCCTTGGGTGGGGTGTGTTCACACGCTTCACTGTTCTGAGATGATAGTCTGCACCTGATAATGAGTGACTGACAGGACCCATTGTCTCCCGAAAAGACCCAATAAGTGCTTTTATTGCATTATATTTTTTTCTTGCACAGCAGCAAAGGAGCAACTAAAAAGTGAAACATAAATGACCAACACCTTACCATCCACAAAGCGTTCAGATTTGACAAAACTGACAAACTTCTCCCCTTGGATTGAGAAAAGCTGTTCCACTCCCTTATCTGAGGCCAGCGGTGGTTTGGAGCCCTCACATAACTTGGCCAACTGCGGCAGGTCAGCCAAGAAGGCAGCAGGTATGGAGCAGTTATAGAAACGCGGATAAATGTACACCATCTGCTTTGCTGGAGAGGGAGAAGAGAGCATCACAAAGAAGAGAAAAATTCGAGAGACAATGAGTTGGACAATTATATGGTTCACAATAGATAAACTAAACTGTATTATGGATTTGCTGACATATATATCAAACTAATACCTAGTTTAATAAATATTGAATACTTGTCTAATATCTCTGAAATATGGATGTTCACTTTTTTCGTCTTGCTGTGTGTTTAATGGCAAGCAAGTGGATTTTTTTTCCAGCAAGCACACAGAACGGACAGCTAGTGGACAGTGAGGAGATATTCGTCACATCTGTATTGAAGGCACTGATGGCCTTACAGAAAGCCTGGTCGTTGTTTAAATGTTGTCTTGTCTTTAGCAAATAGAGAATTTTGTAAGCTTAAGTCTGGGATGTGTACAGACCTGGTGTAAGTCAGGCCCTGTTGCTTCACAAGTGTTCACTCACCAATACCGAGGAACTGTTCATACTTGTAGGTCACACAGAGAGCAGTCTGGCCGTTGACTTTGCCAGAGGAGGGGTAATGGTAGCCTCTCTCAGGGAACGAGGGGAAATGGGGAATGCTGTGTGACAGCCAGAAACCTTGAGAGCGGTCAAAGAGCAGTACCCCTGCAGGATGCACACAAGCACTGCTCAATGCACGCACAGCTCCTCACAATTACATGTGAACTAGCATGCATGCTTGCAGACATGTCCATCAATGTCGTGTCACGGCAGTCGATAATCACGAGTCAACAGCAGTTATCAGACAGATGCTCTTTGCCCGTTTCCTCCCCACTGACGCCAAAACCATATTGATCTGTTCCTTTTTGCAAAATCATAGCATTGCAAATGATGACTAGCAGCCTAGCAATAAATCTGTCATTAATTATTATAGACACAAAAGAATACACAGGTCCTTGAATGCACCACATTGCAAAAAGGTACAGTTTTTACAGTGAACATTTTTCACCAGATGCTGAAAAGACAATTTGAATGTGCTAACACACACAGCAGGATTGCTGTTCTGTCTAAAACACACACACAGTATCACTACAATCACTGAACTGAATATAAAAATGAAAGGTACTTGACTACTGTATATTATATGATAATGCACTTACCATCTTAAATATTGTGATACTTTTTGCTGTGAAGACTATGATGTTAGGCGCAAAGTGTTCTCAGTCTTTTCATAAGCCTCATCAAAATTCATCCTACCGAAATCAAAGCAAAATCCTCAACACTAGTGAAAACAAACTGTACCTTTAGTGTGTCCATATCCTTTGATGTAATCCAGGATTGGTGGCCCATCATTGTAGAGTGCGTAGACCGAACTGTTGGACTAAGGAAAATACTTCTTTTTATACATAAAGTTTATAGAGAAGTACACTTTTGGGCAAATGACTTTTCTTTAAAGTTTCAGTTGAGCCCATGTTCAGTTTTTAAAAGTTTAAAATTTTGGGAAATACCTTCATTTGCTTCTCACTGCTTTGGGACTGACAATAATTTTATCTATTTATCTATCTATCTATCCATCTATCAGAGTTTCAAAGTCTTATATCTGTCCAGTAAATACACTCACCCACCACAAATAGCAAATCAGCCAATCACATGGTAGCAACTCAATGCATTTAGGCATGTGCAGTAGATAGTTACATCCGTTAGCACAAAAGCCGGAAAAAGTGACAAATAGCTAACCTCTAAAAACAACATAATCCTGCTACCAAGCCAAGAAAGAAATAGTTTGGCACATAAACCCCTGAAATACCTCTGGGAGTCATTAAAAACAGTATTTAATGAGTAATTAGTAAGTAATCAGCGGAGCTGGTAGGTGAATTATGTTACCTTTGAACAAAGCCAGGCTAGCTATTTCTCTGTTTCCAGTGTTTATGCCAAGCTAAGCTAACCAGCTGCTGACTCAACTTTAGCTTCATATTTACCATACCACAGACATGAGGGAAATCAATCTTCTCACCAAACACCTGGCAAAAAAGTGAATATGCATATTTCCTAAACTTTTACTTTATCAAAGGTGACATCTTTCTATTTTTCTTTCAGTTTTTGTATTTTTATTTTTTTTAATTTAGTCTTAATTACTTTAATGATGCCACAGAGTGATTTGCAAACACTGAAAAATTGTGCAATTGCATGCATCACAAAGCATGAGGTGGCATGAGGAAGGACAGTGTTATGTACGTCATCTGGCCGAGGAAGCTTCTAAATGTCCAGCTTCACCTCAGATCCCCATACGAAACTAAAGAGAACCTACTCAGCAAAGTGGCACCGGCATCAGCTCTGTTTAGTCTGATTAAATCCACAAGTGTGTCTATCTTCCTACAGAACAGAGACAAAATCTAACCTTGTAGGCCTCCCCCATGTAAAGCTGGTTTAGTGTGCTCCCTATGGCTCCTTGACTGGTGTTAATCATGTATTTACTCATCTGCCAGCTCCCCACTAAGGAGTCCAGGTACATGTACTCCACCCCGCTGCCGACCTCGCCAATCTTATACCTCGGCAGCTTGTAGATGATAAACCTGCAGTGGAAGGAGAAAGATCCTTTAACTTTTTCATCTTGGAAAAAAAATCAAATAATAATTCAATGTATTACACAATACCAACAACATCCAGTTTATCCTCAGAGATATCAACAACCATAACTAAAAACAATAGTGGTAACACTGAAGAGTTCTACAGTATTGTTATAACTTAATTCCTGTCAGTACTATGTAATGTAAAGTCAATGTATCACATCAACTCACCAATCAACAAGCTCACCAGCTTCATTTTTACAGGAAATGACAGTACTACACACCGTGCAACACAAAAACAGGAAAATAATCTGTAGGTATAAACAGAAGTGTGTGGCCATCCTCAACGACTCCGCCAGGCAGTTTCCGCCAAGTGAAAACTGCAGTGAACAAAACAGGGAACTTGAAATATTTGGATAGAAAGTGAATAGAGTACAGCTGCCTGTAGATGCAAAACAGGAAGTCATAAGATGCGGTCACATGACGGGGAAATACTGAAGGGACTATGAGAGTTTATAGGGTCAATATTAAATTAAATGTTTGGATACTTTCATTGGCTCTAAATCTGTGTAAATACCTTGAGTCTACATACCGTACCTTTACTTATTCAGTGAGAGTTTTTGTCATTTTCTGCACTTTCATTAGCGATGGGGCTGCTGGTCACTGAACTGGAAACCATCTGGTCAAAAGACTGTTTCACCTTGTAAGAAAGCAGCAATAAAACAGTTTCATTTCACTTAGCATTCTATTTTTTGCCAGAGGTAGAGGTATTTAACCATAGACTGTGGATTTAACTTACTTGAGCATGTCACAAAAACTTTAGTTGTGCAGTTATCCTTATAATCTGTAGTTCCACATGTCTTAACCACCAGTGAATGGTACAAAATGGACAGTAAAAGAAACATTACTGACATGGAAAACACACAGAATTAAACACAACAAACATGTAAAAGTCAGATAATTTATTCAAGGTTTAATGGATTAATAAATTAAACATTGAACAATATCAGTTGCTACACCAGTATAATTTGGGAATGCTCCCTCATAAGAAACATGCCCACTGCTGCTGTGGCTGCATGTCCACGCCAATCAAAATGTAACAATCTATAACTATATCTCTGTTTTTCTTCTTTTATCTGTCATCACATCTAGCATGAACCAACTTGCAATGAGTTAATGCCAAACATATGATTTTGTTTTTAGGATTAATTTATTCTTTCCTTTCTAAATTTTGTCTTTGGTCATGTGGGAATATTGTTTTTGGAGAGAGAATGAATAGAATCTAAAATAAATAGGCAAAACGTAAACACAGTTACCACTTTTGGGACACAAATGGGGTAAGACACATCTGTATAAACTGTCTCTGCATGTCGGTCTATTATTATTAGTCATTAATTCAGTTAAATGGAACTAATTTCAGTACATTTTCAGATATAATGGTAGCACTTTCTGAGTTGCATCCTCCTCAAGCATGTTTTTTTAGCAAGCCCTTCAGTTCATTAGGGACTTCTCGGCCACTTACCACCTGTGAAAGGTCTGCAGAACATCTGGATCCAAATCCATTTATTAATTAACATCTTCATATTTATAACTGCAGACTTGATGCTTAGCAAAAGGTGATACTTACAGTATAACAATTTTGTGGCAATTTTGTAATCCCACTCTGGTTAAGAACGAGACCACAATCTCTTACAGTATTAACACTCAGAGCATGGTATGCAAGACATAGGCTAATGATGAAGTGCTTTAAGAAACTGGTTCTTCAGCACATAAAAATCAACATCCCAGCCATCCTGGACCCTCACCAATTTGCTTTCAGAACCAACAGATCCACAGAGGATGCCATCTCCACTGCCCTCCACTCAGCCCTCACACACCTTGAGAAAAACAACACCTGCATCAGAATGCTGTTTGTCGATGTCAGCTCAGCATTCAACACAATCTCCCCATGAAACTATCAGCAAACTCAGCACTCAGTGTCTAAATACAGCACTCTGTAACTGAATATTGGACTTCCTCACAAACAGACCCCAGTCAGTTCGGATTGGTGGACACACCTCCTCAACTCTAGTGCTCAACATCGGAGCCCCCCAGGGCTGTGTGCTCAGACCCCTCCTGTTCACACTGTGCATCACTCAACATGAAGAGAACTCTGTTGTGATGTTTGCGGACAACACTACCATCATCGGCCAGATTTCAAACAACGATGAGACTTCATATCTGGAGGAAATTCATAATCTTGCAGAGTGGTGCTCAGAGAACAACCTACTGCTCAACATCAGCAAAACCAAGGAGCTGATCACTGATTTGGGGGGGAAAAAGAAATAAAGATACACACTCCTGTCTACATCAGTGGAGCTGAGGTGGAGCAGGTGAATAGTTTGAAGTTCCTGCGAATCAGCATCACAGAGAAGCTGACATGGTCATCTCACATCTCCACGCTGGTGAAGAAAGCTCAGAAATGACTGTATTTCTTGAGGAAGTTTCTATCCATCCATCCATCGTCAACTGCTTATCCTGCGTACAGGGTCGCTGGGTTGAGGAAGCTTAAGAAGGCCAAATTCCCATGCCAAGTTCTTGTCAGCTTTTACAGAGGAACAATATAAAGCATCCTGACTGGAAACATCACAAACTGGCATAGGATGTGCACGGCCCAGGACCGGAGCTCTGCAGCGGGTGATTAAAACTGCTCAGAAGATCACTGGTACCCATCTCCCGAGCATCAGTGAGGTGAGGTGCCTACGCAGAGTCCAAAGGACACTAAAGGACAGTACCCACCCAGCCACAGCCTGTTCACCCTGCTGCCTTCTGGGAAGAGATATAGAAGTTTCTACTGCCACACCACCAGACTGCAGAACAGCTTTTCCATCCAAGCTATCAGACTCTTAAACTATAATTCATCCTCAGCACTGCTCCAGTGATGATAGTTTATTTCTGTTTACTATTTTTCATAATTGATTCTTTATTAATATATATTGTCTGCTATGTAGCAGAAGGGAGTTACAAAACTCACTTTCACTCTGTAACTTGTTATATTGTGACAATAAACCTACCTAACTTCCTACGTACCTAATTTGTAAGGTGTACATTTTTGTGTATATTAGCTTTGGGGTAAAGTGTGACGACACTCACGGTACAGGTAAAACAGGTTGAACTTTGGTTTAACATAATCTCCAAAATCTTAAGCCACCACCCTCTCTACAAAATCCTCCTCCTCCAGCATAGACAAGTTTTACTGGAGCTGGGGCAGGGACTGAGGACAGTGAGACAGCAGGCAAAGGAAAGGAACATAGCATGGCTGCTGCTTTAAATCAGGTAACCAACATATTTATGTTGTAAATAGGAAAACATTTTCCAAAACACAGAACAACATTATTTTTCACTATGACAGGATACCTACCTTTTTGGGGTGAATGACCACGGGGCCAGCCATGGTCTGTGGATCAAACCAGTCTTCATGTCTCAAAAAACAATTATCAAATCTAAATACATATATATGATGCTGTAAACTAAAAAGAAAATGTTTCTGTCAATGCAGACTGATTTTTTTAAATCAAATTTCTTTGTGGATATTCTGTGGATAAGAGATTTTAACACTGAGACTGCTTTTAACAATAACTTTAACATTAAATCGATAAATCTGTATCTAAATAGATAATTCTAACTGATGAAACATGCAGCACCAACATCCCAGGTCTCACGCACACAGGTGACAAACTAAACCGAAGACCAAACAACAGAAGGAGTGAAAATGCAAAACAATCTATACATCAAACACACAGTTGAAAATACTAACAAAATATATTATTATAGCACAAAACACCTGTTTACATCTTTGAAAACTGCAACATGCCAGTAATCTGTTGCTTGTGTACGCAGAATGTGGAGTTTGTGCGAACAGGCTACGGCAAGAACACAGTGAAGGTGCTGGTCATCAGGAGACAGGGGATCCACCACTACATCATTGAGCTGAAAGCCGACGTGGAGCTCACACTCAACTCGTGCAAGGATTATCTGACTGGAGACAACTCGGACATCATCCCCACCGACACCATCAAGAACACCGTCCACGCCCTGGCCAAGATCAAGGGGGTAGGTCAACTCTACTGACAGACATGAGGGACATGTCAATATGCCGCAGCTTGTAACCTCAACGATGGACAGAGCTGCAAATTATAAACCCAATACCACGACCACTCCACTTTCTACTCACGACAACACTTCTATCAATAAGGTCATCTAACAATGACCATTTTAAAATTAGCTCTAGCATTCAGTAGATTTGGTGACCGGTATAGGGAGGCCACAGCTGGAGATATATGGTCAAACTTTCAGGGCGTTATCAGAATCAGAGCTGCAGTGATTTATGAGAGAAGCATTAAAAACTAGGGAAGTCAAACATTGTGTAATTGAGGAGCTATTAAAAATAAATATCTGAAATAATTAAGGTGCAACTTTTGTTTCACAGATGAGCATATTGGCTTTGTTTACAAGAAAGTTCTTTGTCACCCAGCTTTACTACATGCAGCGTTTATTGTTAAATCAAGAAACTGCAACTTTCAGTGTCATAACCCCAGAACAGTAAATACAGTTACATACATTCACTTAACTGGGAGAATCCTAATATGGTAATTTTTTTTTTTTACCTCACTCTACTGTCACAATTTAACCCTGTCAACACACAGCTCAAATACACTGAGCAAATAAAATCAAGGGTAAACAAACCCTGTTGACTTTTGTTTTAGTCTGCACTTTATGCTCCCATTTACTGAAGAAAACATTGTTACTCATTTTACAAGAATTTGAAAAAATGTTTTGATGGTTTTACTTACTTTGCTCTTTATGTTATACTTATCTGTTCAGGTCAAGACCATCGAGCAATTTTCCCTGGATATCTGTCATCATTTCCTAACCTCTTTCAACCATGTACTGAGGGCCAAAGTTCACATGGAGGAAGCTCCATGGAGACGATTGGAGAAGGTAAAATACAAGGTTCAGTGATTAGGCTAGTGCTGGACACAGGAATTTGCCTTTTTGATGGCAGGAATTTGTTTTGTCCAAACAGGAAAAGCACAAGTGAAACCAATGATACTGAGTCTTTTTCACACAGAGAATCACGGGTGTGATCAGATATTTGCTTTGTAGAAGCGTAAATCACCTTAACATGTTCAATCATGTAAAATATCCATCATGAAACATGACACACTTCCATTTAATTTGTCACTGACATTTTTCCCAGAATGGGGTGGAGCATGCTCATGCATTTATCTACAGCCCGGAAGCTTTTCGCTTCTGTGATGTTGACCAGAATCTCAATGGTAAGCACCCCCCCCCCCCACCTTCTTGTTCTTCTTTAGCAGACTTTAGAGGCACACTAGCTCTGTAGTTAGTATATGTGTGAAAAATGATGTGGGTTGTTGATTAATGTATCCTAATGTTTATGATTAAGTCATACTCCCTGACTTTGCCCCACACAGGGATCCCAGTGGTTCACAGTGGTGTGAAGAACATGACAGTTCTGAAAACCACCCAGTCTGGTTTTGAGGGTTTCCACGTAGACCGCTTCACTACTCTGAAAGAGGCCAAGGACAGGTGTTTCTGCACCTCTGTCTACTCCAAGTGGCGCTACAACAAGATTCAGGATGTCAACTTTGACACTGCATGGTAATTTTCTGTTAAAGACTTGTGAAGGGCAACGCAAGTTGTAGGTAACCATGATAGAGAGGAAAAGGGAAAATATCTCCTGTTTTAAGAGAAATTAAATACTTTCACCGCCCTTAGGAAGTGTGTGAAGGAGACCATTATTGAGAAGTTTGCTGGTCCCTACGATCGTGGGGAGTACTCACCCTCTGTGCAGAAGACTCTTTATGAAACACAGGTTCTGGTCCTGGATAGAGTTCCTGAGGTAAGTCTACATTTTTAGATCAAGGCTCCAGGTGAAATCTCTTGTAGCCATAGCATTACTGCTTCCTACACATATTCATTACATTAAGACAGTACACATACAGACTAACTTGTCAGCCATATGTGTCTTCATAAATACTGTCTGGCTGCTGACTTTAGCACACACATTTACACATCAAGACAGTCAGTGAATGGTACAGATGAGTGAATGCGTCCAGGACAGAGCATTATTTGTGTAACATCCAATATAACAAGTATTGTCTTTCAGGTGGAAGAAATTGAGATTGTCATGCCCAACCAGCATTACTTCACCATAGACATGACAAAAATGGGCCTCTTCAACAAAGATGAAGTAAGTTCTGTTATTACACACAATTTTTCAAGCTGATGAACTGTTGAACAAGTGAAAACGTTTGGTCACTGACGTGTATTTCCCCCCTAACAGGTTCTTCTTCCCCTGGATAACCCTTCAGGCAACATCACAGGGACAGTGCGCAGGACACAGCGGGCCAAGCTGTAAAGACACCCAACAATCTAGAAAATGCTGCTTTGATCAGTCTGAATAAACTATTTAATAGAAAAGTAAATCTGATGTTGCGTAGGCCTAATCAAGTTCTGAGGACCAAAATGACCTTTAATGCATTTTTGTTTTATCTAAATCGCAACCACAACTCAAGATTTCCCAAACATGTCAAAGCTTT